GATTATACGAACATTAATACTATTGCTTCTTTACACTTTGATCAAATTATGCTCAATTTTCTTATAACATGGTCAGTTATTATGTTGCGCGAATTGATGTTATCTTTTAACTAAATAAGAGCCGCGATATAATCAATCATGAAAACGTGTGTAGGTTAAGTTTATAACAGTGTAGATCAACTCATGCACACATAGACGATTGATTGTATCATTAATGTATAAACTTGATAGTACCTCGAAAGAGATCTCTACACCATAGAAAGAGAACCCCGATAATGGACACCTTGGGTCTCTTCAATGACAATTAAACAGTATCACACTGTACTGAGAGCAACATTGCCCTGATCAAGACTCAAAAGGATATTCCACCTGTACACGATTGTGGTCGGTCCAGCAAAAGTAGTTCATTATTTTTTGGCTAATTATGATTATTGAAAAGTTAAACTTATCATATAGGTGCTTTTGTTTTATTGAATCCAACATTATGACTCGTGAACCTTGAGGATTATAACAGTTGCAAAGGATTCAAATCAAGCACGCAATAATGGGCACCAAATAGTGAAAAGAACTATTTAATTAGGGTTTGTTAATACTAACAATACTCATTTATAAATAAGTAATGGTCATCCCCCTTTCGGGGAGGGTATGTGTCTTGTACGCGACCATTGCTGAAGAGCTAATCTTGCCTAATCTTTCTTCATTTGAGAAAAAAAAAACTGGAAAAATACAATCTAATAGTAAAAGAAATACGAACTGTAAACTTATACATATGTTCCAACTTTAAATTTTTTGTTGACGTAAAGTCGTCTAAATGTACTTGATACGTGTAATTTATAAGAGATTTACATGTATTCGAAAGATAGAAATTTGTGAAGGGGCGGTGGATCATTTGATTTGATTCTGCATAAGATATTATCTATGGCATCGAAGTGATATGGAGCGGTAGCCTTTTTCCTTTCTCAAGTCTATCAAAAAAATGTGAATTGTCACTTTCCATTGTTGGTTGCAAGCACAAAAACCACAAAAACATATTTACGTATTCAAGGCCGGCCCTAAGGGTAGCCCAAGTAGGCGCCCGCCTAGGGCCCCCACTTTGAAAGGGCCTCAAAAAAAAATTTATATCCTGAAATTAACATATAAATACAAAAAAAGTAAGAAATATCGTAATTCATTTGAAACACGAAACTGTCTTTCAGTCACTAAATTTTTCTTAATTTTTCTTGTTTTTCAAATTTACTGCCGATCTATCTGTCCAACTCCCAATCCATCTGTCCAAATGCATATAAAGTTATAAAACTCAAGTCTCTTTGCAAAATTTTTTCTTTCAACTTCTCATTCTCTCAATTTCTATCGAATGTTTAAACCAACTTCCTATTCTCTCTATTTCTATTGAATGTTTAAACCAACTATCATATGGTCTTAAGATTGTACTTTAAGGTAATCAAAACTTTGAATTATATATATTTTTTTTCAATAACTTTTTATTCAATGGATTATTTTAATATTCAATTAGTTAGTGTGATGTTGATTTTAGAAGGAAAAAAAAAACACAAGAAAAACAATTGGCGTTGAATTTATTATACTCGTCAATCAAGTTTTATTGTTATTTACTCTCGTGATCATCAAGTTTTATTGTTCTTCACTTTCAATCTTAAACTCTTGACTGCAAACATTTAGTACATTTGTGTCTAAAAACGTGACGTGTAATGTTTAAATAATGTTTGTATATTTTTCTTCTTTTGATATTAATTTTTAATGATATTTGATGTGAAATATAACTTTTTATGTATTTAGCGAATTCTTTTTTTATGCAAATTAATATACAAAGGACCGGAGATCAAAGAATTTTAGGACCTCACTTCGAAGGCTTGCCTAGGGCCCCAAATTCTAAGGTCTGGCCTGTACGTATTCGAAAATGGTCACATGCCTTTAACTATGTGGAGTGCCTTACCTGCTCTTCACCATGCACCAGAAATTGTGAGACCGTGACAAAGCTACTATTCCCCATCCCTCCCACTTCTCTTTATAACCTCCAATCATTCATGGAATCTCATGCTACTACTGCAAATTCTAAACAAGAAAAAGCACTCTCTCTCTCTCTCTCTCTAAAAAATGGTAGCTACTTACTCGTACAACTTCAATATCATACTAAAAACTCGAAATTTTTCAATGAGTTTTTTTTCTTTCTTTTTACATTTTTTTCCTTTACTTCAACAGGTTTTGATCTCAAGGAGAGGTGAGGAAGATGGAGATTTGGTGGATTTTAGAGGAAATCCGGCGGACAAATCTAAAACTGGCGGATGGCTTGCTGCAGGGCTTATTTTGGGTGCTTTATTCTAAATTTTCGACTTAAATTCTCTTTTTCTGATATCCACGTTTGAGTTATGGACGGATCACGTCTAGCCATTATATGCATTATCTTAAGGTGATTTTTTTTTCTTCATGATGAGTGTTGCAGGAATTGAACTAGCTGAGAGGATATGTGTGATGGGAATTTCTATGAATTTGGTAACATACTTGGTTGGAAATTTGCATTTATCTTCTGCAAAATCTGCAAACATAGTGACCAATTTCATGGGCACTTTGAACCTCCTTGGCCTCCTTGGTGGGTTCCTAGCAGATGCTAAGCTTGGAAGGTACCTCACAGTTGCACTTTCTGCAACCATAACGGCTGTGGTAAGTTTTGAGCCAAGGACAATTTGCAATATTAACCTTTTTACGAACACATTAAAGACTTCTAGCCCACTTTTCGTTTGGCACTCCTCAAAAGTCATTCTACAAAGAAATATTCACTTTTTAGGAAGCGCGTAATGATTTTTAAGATCTATATGAATAAGAATCAATCGAAACCCCCTCAAGCAGTTCTTGAGCTCTCCCAAGACCCCTCCAGCAGTGCTCGAACCCCCTTCGATATGCTCAAGCCCTCAAATGCTTAGATTCGAGAAGTTTAAACTGCTAGGCTAAAAGCCTTTTACATATCCAAAATTTGCTACTTTTGAAAAATTTTCAAGTCCAAATCTGCAGTTTAAAAGCTGAATTGTTCTTGTTCTTGCATCTTAGGGGATAATATTGTTGACATTGGCGACATCGATTCATAGCATGAGACCACCTCCATGTGATGACTACAGACAGCAACACCATCAATGCATTGAGGCCAACGGAACCCAGTTAGCCCTACTCTATGCTGCTTTGTACACTACAGCACTGGGTGGTGGTGGCATAAAATCCAACGTCTCAGGCTTTGGGTCCGACCAATTCGATGGTGCGGACCCCAAGGAAGAGAAGGCCATGATCTTTTTCTTCAACAGGTTCTACTTCGGCATCAGCATTGGGTCTCTGTTTGCCGTCATTGTGCTGGTGTATGTGCAAGTCAATGTTAGCAGAGGGTTGGGTTATGGAATAGCGGCTGGGGCGATGATCATAGCGATCATCGTATTGCTCGCGGGAACGAGGTTTTATCGGTTCAGCAAGCCTCGAGGCAGCCCTTTAACTGTCATATGGAGAGTGATATTTTTGGCTTGGAAGAAGAGGGCTTATCCTCATCCATCTCATCCAAGCCTTTTGAATGGATGCCAAGAGGCCAAGATCCCCCAAACAGAGAGGCTCAAGTAAGTTTACTTACAAGCCATTATTCCATATATATATATATATCATGAAGTGATTTTCGTACGTCATTTTCTTCCCTGCACACACTGCTTATTTTTGGCCTTTGGATTGAATAAATAGAAAATCATATTTTTAAATATGCGTGTGCAAAATGAGAAAATGGGCATGAGGAACCTAAAATATCCGAATCTGAATATCTACATACGTGCAAAATCAGAACTTGGCCATCTAACTTTAAAGCATCAAGTTTTCTTCACTGGCATTGACTAGCTTTTGTTTATCTACGCATGTGAATGGTTAGGTGTCTAGACAAAGCTGCAATCCTAGATGAATATGCTGCTCATGAAGGAAACAGAAGCAACTCATGGATAGTATCCACAGTGACCCAAGTTGAAGAGGTGAAACTGGTCTTCAAGCTCATGCCGATCTGGTCGACATGTATCCTCTTCTGGACGGTCTACTCTCAGATGACTACGTTCACCATTGAACAAGCCACTTTCATGAACCGAAAAGTAGGCTCCTTTGAAATCCCAGCGGGTTCTTTCTCGGTGTTCCTCTTCATCACCATCCTCGTCTTTACTTCCTTAAACGAGAAACTATTTGTCCCCCTTGCTCGGAAACTCACCAACAATGCCCAAGGAATAACAAGCCTTCAAAGGGTTGGAGTTGGACTCATTTTATCAATGGCGGCCATGGTAGCTTCCGCAATAGTAGAGAAAGAAAGAAGGAACATCGCAGTTCACCAAAATACCAAACTAAGTGCTTTCTGGCTTATCCCACAATACTTCCTCGTGGGTGCAGGGGAAGCTTTTGTCTATGTCGGACAACTTGAGTTTTTCATCAGAGAGGCTCCGGACAGGATGAAGTCCATGAGCACGGGGCTTTTCTTAAGCACCATCTCAATGGGATTCTACGTTAGCAGCCTTTTGGTGATGGTAGTGGACAAAGTGACTAGGAAGAGCTGGCTGAGGAGTAACTTGAATAAGGGAAGGCTAGATAACTTCTACTGGGTCCTTGCGGTGCTAGGAGCTACAAATTTTTTAGTTTTTCTTGCCTTTGCAATGAGACACCAATACAAAGGCCATCAACACAATAGCCCTGATGATAGTGGCGAAAAGGAGTTCAAGAGCTCAAACATCAAAACAGTTGAAGAGATGGCAGAGCTAATCAGAATTGAGGCAAAGGAAGGACCTTAGGACCCTAATATGTATGCTTCCAAAAGGATCTTGTGTAATATTGTATGCTAATCAATCATTTCTTAGGTATTTAAATCCTTTTTTTTGTCTGCGGTCTCTCTCAGACTAAATGTAAGTGCAATGTGAACTAGAATGTAATGCAATGATAGATTTTTATTCATCCAAAAAAACAAAATTTACAGCATAACAACATATCCATGACACGTCAAGAAATCAGGCATTCGTCAAATCAAACCATCCAACATACTGCATATAGAAGCCATCTAGTTGCAAGATTACTTGTTTCAGCATTAATGAACTAGTTCAGAACCACTGCAGATTCTGATCCAGAATTGGCTTCTTATAAAAAAAATACAGGAATACTAGTCTCCTCGATCAAGAGGCACATATCTAAGAAGCTGAGAGCTGACCTCTAAACAATTACATAGGCCATTAAGAAGAACCACTTGCAGAAGCAGGTTGGTGATTTATGACCAAAGGGGGGCGCAGAGCTCGGTGGCTTTCCAAGTTTTGTTTGCGGGCTTTATACATCTCTTCTGTCTCAATCACGACCAATCTCTTAACCTGCGTGGAAAATAACATGCTAATGTTATCAATTATGGAGAGGAAAGATGCCTTAATCTACGAATGCATCAACTGAGAATTTATCAAACCTGTTGGAGCATTCCCCTGACTGTAGGAGTATTCCATCGCATGACAGTTCGGTTGCACTTTCCGAGACGTAATGCCTCTAAAGTACGCCTGTGAAGTCTCCTGGTTCCCGGGATTCCCCTCACCAAAGTTATATACAGATTAGGGCTCCATGCAATTGGGACACTGGCTTTATAAGCCTTGAAAGCATTCATTTCTTCTCCAACCTACACATCCCAAAGTGGTGCCAAAGCCATAACTTCAATATATATGAAAACTAGTAATACATCGCTGCATCAGAATGAAGAAAAACTCCAGAACGAAGATAAGCATAACAACTCGGGCTGGCCAGTGCCAATCATTCAAAGATGAACACCGAAACATTAAAAACGGGCTGGCTAGTGCCAATCATTCGCCTTGTTTACATTACAATCGTTTTCACTCTAAACCAATAAATCATGGTAAAAAAATCAGAACAATTACGTACCCGTAAAGCAAGCTCAGTGGCCTTGAACACTAATATCTCTTCATTTCACCACTACCAACTACACGGTTCAACCAAAACCACCACGGGCACAACACGTAACGATCAATCACAAAGAAAAAAGAAAAATTGTTCACTAAGCCGAAATTCCATGAACTTGGATTGTTACCCAGTTTCGGAAACATAATGCATTTCCCCAAAAGTTATCAAATTTATCCCAAATCTCCATTCACTTACTCCTCAAATTAAACAAATTCAACAAAAATAAGATGTTGTATTATCTCTAAAGCTGGAAGGAAACTAAGCCCGTTTGGTAATTAAGCTCAATCTTCTCAAGAACAAAACTTTTTATCTTCATTTCGCCCAAAAATCAGGTTTTTTTTTTACTGGTAGATTCAACATTTACCGGGCAATTCATGAACTACAGAAAGTAAAACAACGAGAACGCAGAAAGAGAAAAAGTAGCAGATTAACAAACTGAAAAATGAGGAAGAAAGACAGAGATTATATAGGAGAGAGAGAGGGGGGGGATGGTGAGAGAGATGATGTACGTTTGTCGACGGAGATGCAACTAGTGACGACGGCGGCGGCGAAAAGGGACTGCCTTGTTAGTGAAGGAGTCTGAGTGGGTGAAGTAGATTTTAGCTCCTTCGGCTATGTAGGCCTGGCTGGAACTTTGGGCCTTTTGGTTTGGGTCTATCTTCTACGTACCAAGCCCAACATACTGACCTTTAACTCTCATTTTGTTTTCTTATAGCCCAACATACTTCGTAACTCGTTTGAAATTACTTTTATAAAAACAACTCATAAACGCTTTTGCTAGAGGTGTTTATTATAAATACATTGTAGTTTTGAATAAAGATCTAAGTGCATCATAAAAAATCACTTTCCATTTTGGCAATGCTTATTGGAAGCAGTATCTGGCAGGCGCTTGTCTGTAAAACCGTTTCTATGGAGTAAATTTTTTTTTAACCAAACCAATCAAAAGCGCTTTTGTGGTCTGGAAAACATTGTTGCATCCCTTCCAAAAGCATCCCAAAAAAGGGTGGCACAATAAGTCACTGCAATTTGGCTAGCTTAAGTGTCAAGCTCATCACAAATATATTATTGTTGCCGTTCATATGAATTGAACGCAAAACTTTTAGTGCGAAGATAAATACCATTAGATAAAAACAAACAGGCTATAGTAATTGAGACGTGCAAGATCTTAGGACTCACGTATATGTCAAAGTAATTTGCAACTCCATGTAGATTTGGGTTATACGCTAACTATTTATCGTACTAATAGTATTTTAGTTCGAGAGTGTTAGGAGAGATCTCGAGTTCGAATATTCTCAGATAAAGTACAAAAAGTTACCAATATCACGGTCTCTAATATTGACTGCCTACTACCAACGCAAGGTACGTGATGATACCATTATCCATAACAAACTCACCGCTTCTCTCTCTCTCTCTCTCCACTGTCACATTCGCTGTGTAGTTTGAAGGCAACGATGTACTCCATGAATGGCAAGGCAGTGCCTGGTCGCTTCGTCTCTTCATACAGCGAGGTCCAGGCCAGTCGTCTCGACGTTCCGCTTCCTCTCCCTTCTGTTCTGAAGAGCTCCTTCAGCGTCGTCGATGGCCCCAAAAGCTCCGCCGCCGGAAACCCAGGTCTCTCTTTCTTCATTAATCAATTACACACAATTTACTGTAGTTATGAAAGTGTACTCGTTGATTACTGCAGTCTTTCTACCAAAACCAAACGAATGTAAAGTTTTCAACTTTTTCAATAAATGGATATTTATATTAGGATAATACTTTTAAATAACGTATCTTTATCGAATAAAATCAAATATCGGAATCGTTTAATTTTTTAATCTTGATTTGAAGATCACCTTTCAAAAAATCATTTCAATAAAAAATCATTTAGTAATTAAAAATCATAGGACAAATTAATGGTGTACTGTCAAGTAATATATTCATGATCATTTGGTCATTCAAATTTATAGAAAAATCGTTCAAATTTATAGAAAAAAATTGATGATGTACTACCAAGTAATATATTCATAATAATCGTCCATATATTTGATACATTTGAAGAAAAAACAATTTCTAATTCGAATGATTTTTGGTAGGAGTGATCTTCAAATGAAGATTAATACATCAAAGAGAATAAATAAAGAGAGGTGGGTTTCGATTTAGTTTGTGATGTAATTTTGTTCAATGTATTTGTGCAGAGGAAATAGCCAAGTTGTTTCCTAACCTATTTGGGCAGCCTTCAGCAATGCTACGGCCAGGCGGTTCTTCGGTGCTTCCGAAGGATAAGAGTTTGAAGATTGGAGTGGTTCTCTCAGGAGGACAGGCCCCCGGTGGACACAATGTTATTTGTGGGATATTTGGTGAGGCTATTGCCTTGTTCAGATGAAACTTTAGCACTCGAGAGTTTCGTTAACTTTTCGTTATTTCTATTTTGTGGTTAGATTACTTGCAGAAGCACACTAGTGGAAGCATAATGTATGGATTTAAGGGTGGTCCGGCAGGGATCATGAAGTGTAAATACGTTCAACTGTCCGCGGAATTCATCTACCCTTACAGAAATCAGGTTATCTTTCGCTTCGAAATATTATCATCTATCAACCAATGTTCAGCACTTTCTTCTTTCTTGTGTTGCAAGAAATTTTTTTTTTTCCAAGTAGATTGCTCTTATATAATTTGTTCATTACAAGAGACTTTGATCTAGTTTGCTTTTTAATCAAATTTGTAGCGTGCTTTCTCACATTCTCTTTTGACAGGGTGGCTTTGACATGATTGCAAGCGGCAGAGACAAGATTGAAACTCCCGAACAGGTTACTTATTGGTCCTGTAAAATTGTTGACATGTTTATCAAATTCATCTCTGTGCAGATTTTCTTCTCACAGATCAAATTTTAGATATATGGTAACTGAAGTGTGTATGCTTTTCAGTTTAAGCTAGCAGAAGAAACAGCAAAGAAGTTTGATTTAGACGGGCTTGTGGTCATTGGCGGGGATGACTCAAATACCAATGCTTGCCTTCTAGCTGAACACTTCAGGTACAAAATATCTCTCTCCAAGTTAATGTTCTGCTATATCTGCGACTTTGTACAGCAAGCTTTAGTATTTATGCTTCTGTAATCTTCGAGATCTCTCAAGACTCTTATGCTTTTTAGGGGTAAAAATATGAAGACACAGGTAATTGGATGTCCCAAAACCATTGATGGTGATCTGAAAAGCAAAGAGGTGCCCATAAGTTTTGGATTCGACACTGCATGCAAGGTAATTCTTACGCCATTGTTATACATTGTGATGCAAGCAATCAAATTTTTGCCTTATCATACGAAAAGAACTGTGCGTTCTTTAGTCTAAGTTTGGTGTACTTGTTATGATCTTCACTGTGATAAACGTGCAGCTATATTCAGAAATGATTGGTAACGTGATGATGGATGCCCGTTCAACTGGGAAGTACTACCACTGTAAGTGCTCTGGTTGTGTAAGAATGAATCAGTTATCAGATTGTGTCGTGCTTTATATGTTGTTCGATGGCATCAAGCAAGTTTTAAAAACTTGCCATGATTTTGCAAGATACACGTATAGTTTAGGATGACTTTCAGGAACATGCATAAGAACTGTGACCGTAAATGTTTATTCTTGATTGTCCTCCCTAATTTTCTATTTATGCAGTTGTAAGGCTTATGGGGCGTGCAGCTTCTCATATAACCTTGGAGTGTGCACTGCAGACTCGTCCAAACGTCACGATTATTGGGGAAGAGGTATTTTCTGGTATCCTTCTATCTCCAAGTTTGAGCTCCAATGTTAATTGGAAATGATAGTAGCCAACTTCCAGTTTTTTTTATTGGCCGGAATCTCTTTTTGTTATCACTATTCAAATTACGCTTGAAATTTATCAACTATCTTTTAACTTCTCGCTTAATTGAAAGAAAAGTGAGAGCTGGTGACCCAATAACAGACTGAATTAGAATTTAGAAGAATGGATGGGTGAACCTTCAGTTTCTATGTAAACTTTTTTGACTTGACAATGTTTCGTCATGCGATAGGTTGCTGCCAAGAAGCAGACACTCAAGAGTGTAACAGACTATATAACAGATATAATCTGCAAACGTTCGGAACTTGGGTTTAATTATGGTGTCATACTTATACCAGAAGGCCTGATTGATTTCATTCCAGAGGTATCATTTTGAAAGACTTGAGAGGATATAATTCGCTCGATTCCATGTTTTGACAGCCGGAAAATTCTCAAAGTTTCGTTTTGGCTTTACCATAAAACTTGCAGGTGCAGCAACTAATTTCGGAGCTTAACGAAATCTTAGCTCATGATATTGTTGATGAAGCAGGGGTGTGGAAACAGAAACTCCAGAGCCAATCCCTTGAGCTTTTTGAGTTTTTGCCGCAAACAATTCAGGAGCAACTACTGCTCGAAAGAGATCCACACGGGAATGTGCAGGTAAATTCTTTTGATTGTCGTATCTTTGTACTTTATCCACTGGACTTTGTCCGAATATTGCATTTGTTGAATCTTAACACGATGTTAAGCATTTAGGTAGCAAAAATAGAGACAGAAAAGATGCTCCTTCAAATGGTAGAAACTGAACTGCACAAACGGATGCAGGAGGGGACATATAAGCGTGACTTTGCTGGAAAGACACACTTCTTCGGGTACCAAAATATTTGTTCATCTGGTTCATTCGATCATATGATTCATATTCCTGTATGTTCGTTCCTCGTATCACATACTTGATTTTTACCTTGCAGTTATGAGGGCAGATGTGGTCTTCCTACAAACTTTGATGCAAACTACTGCTATGCATTAGGTTATGGTGCCGGTGCGCTCCTTCATTCAGGAAAGACAGGATTGATATCCTCTGTAAGTCATAGTTCATTCATTCTTCTTAGTTCATCAAGTTTGTTTATTTCGTTACGCAAAAGGCTTAAAGTCGTAAGGGTTTTGCTAATTTAAACTATGTATGCAGGTGGGAAATCTGGCTGCGCCGGTTGAGCAATGGACAGTTGGTGGCACGGCATTGACTTCTTTAATGGATGTGGAGCGGAGACATGGTACAGAAAACACTCGGCTTAAGATCCTAAAACTTCATTCAAGCTAAATCGCTCGTAATCCCATATTACGTGATTGCTCTTATAACGAATCCAATCATGCATATATTAATTCTGAGAGTTTAAATTTTGCAGGAAAGTTCAAGCCTGTGATTAAGAAAGCAATGGTGGAACTTGAAGGTAAAACACTTGTCTGAGCCCTTAATTATCCGCCTGCAAACAACGGTGCACTTCTTGACACTCTCTGTGTTTCTTTGCTGGTGGAATATCAGGTGCACCATTCAAAAAATTTGCATCATTCCGGGACGAGTGGGCTCTTAAGAATCGCTACGTTAATCCGGGTTAGTTATAACACTTAAACCGTCGTAAATTTTTTGTTACGGAATATGAAAGTCAGGTTTTTGAGTTGCTGAAGTTTTCGCTTTCGATCAGGTCCGATTCAATTTGTTGGGTCCGCAGCAAATACGATCAACAACACTCTTCTGCTGGAACTTGGAGCACAAGCATAGGGAAGAACTGATTCACATCTAAATAAAAACTTAGGACATGATGTACATTTGGAAATGCTGAATAGGTTTGCATTTTTTTGGGTCTAAGAGCTTGTAGCTCAAGTGGCCAAACGACATTTATCTTCTAATTGATATGTTTGAAACTGGTCGTTAATCTATTCATAACAAGTCACAGTGAGCCATAGCTAGTAAAAGGTCGTACCCAGTGCACAAGGCTCCCGCTTTACGCAGGGTCTGGGAGAGGTGAATGTTGAAATTAAATATATTTGTCTTTTGTTTTGTGGGAGTTGACTCGAGACCTCCTCTAGCCAAGCAGAGATCGCGATGGTGTAATGGGTGTGATATCCACACACCCCATTTTACTTCTCACACACCTTTTTAATTTTCAGCCGTCGGATCGGATGAATTGAAGAAGATCAATGGATAGAAATTATCAAGAGGTGTGTGAGAAGTAAAATGGGGTATGTGGATAACACACCCCTAATTTTATTTGAGTTTCTGATGACAAAATGAAATTTGATATTAGCTTTAGAGGGCATTTCAATAAATAAGCCCTAAACCTATAGAAATTTGAGTTCGGATTCTCACCGGATCCTTTTTGTGATGATCCTGGTCCGTGAATCGTGTCTGCTTATCGTACATCGTGCGGTCAAAAATCATTTTAAATATTTTTATTTAAAAATAAACATAAACAGTATTTGACAAAAATTGACTGCACGATGTACGATGAACGGATCCTTAGAATCCTCTCCAAAATGATCTGAAGAGGATCATGTTGGTAAAAATTTTATGCCACGTGGCATGGACCTCAAAATTCAGCCAGCCCACAAACCCAAACCCAAACCCAAATGCGTGAGTTCAAATCCTGCCAAACCACCAGAAGCTCAAAACTCAAAGGCGCGCAAAAAGAAGGGGAACAAATCATCGGCTAATCACGTAATCAATGAGGAACAACACTTTGTGGACGCTCCTTGCTCGGAGAGCATCGACAACCACCACACTCCGAAACCCAACTTCAAGTCGGCGGTTCTTTTGCTCGCCACCGTCTTCCTCCTCCTCTCCACCCCAAAACAACAAGCTTTTCGTTGGAGGTTTCTCTCTCTACTCCTTCCCATACATACAATACACCTTCAAAGTTATGTACTTTTCGAGTTTTGATCGTTTTTACGGTGATTTGGCTTCTGGGCTTTGCAGGATTGTCATGGTCGGTGGATGAGAAGTCCTTAAAAGACGCTTTCTCATCCTTCGGGGAGGTCACTGACGGTAAAATCTTGATTGCCCAGTTCGAAATTTTGCATACTATTCATTAGTCGTCTACATGTTCGATGAAATGCCCCAATGATCGCTAGCAGTTTATTTCACAATGATTTGGATGTTACGTATGGTTTTCCTGAAAAAAGAATTAATCTTTGTTCATATTCTGCAATGTAGTGAAGATAGTGTATGACAGAGATTCCGGCAGGTCGAGAGGGTTCGGATTTGTTAATTTCTCCAAGGAAGATGAAGCCCAGGTTGCAAAAGATGCCATGGATGGAAAGGTGATGCAAAAACTATAGTTTGCATGGATCAAAGTTTATTTTCTGGAAAAGATTTTCTGATTGATGTAGTTCTGCTTGCAGGCATTGTTGGGTCGGCCATTGAGGGTTACTTCTGCTGTTGAAAAAATTCGGGGCGGACCTGTTGTGGTTCCTCGCCTTCCTACATGAACTCCTGTGGTACAGTGGTAAGTTATGTTCCATGTTAATGGTGAATCGATGATGACTAAATACGTTTAGTTGTGAAAGCTGTAAATAGTGCTTTGCAATAGGATGACCGTTATTCCTTGTCATTTGAAGAGAATGATTGCTTTTGATTGGTCAATCACGTACATCTAATTAGTGACAAAACTTGTTTACTAATTCATTTCACTAATTACTTCACATATGGTTAAGAAGCTTTATGTTTTATATTTGTGATGATAGTATCTTGTTAGGAGGAAGGAACTTGGGAATCTTAAAAATTTAACAGCACTTCCAGTCACGCACTTGCCGTTGCAAGTTTTGTTCAAGCATGTAGCTCAGATCACTGTTTCTTCAGATTCTTGTATATAACTGTTTTAGAAATTATAACAATCAGAGACTGGCGGCCGCGGAGAAGTCAATTAAAAATGCAATTAAGTTTTTTGGTTTGATCATCCATCTCTTACTGCTTGCAGTTTGCAGCTTTGCTCAACTGCACATTCATTTTTTAACCTTAACTCTACAGACTGCTAGTTTCTTCTTCGTTGTAGTAACACCTATGTACGTCTAACCCAGTGCCCACGATGCTTAAAAACCGTAACTTAAATGCTCATCAACATTATTTTCTTTCTTCGTCATGACTCATGATTGAGTATTCTTCGTTATAAAATTGCGTCTAAAAGTTCCTTAATTTCGGAGTTTTATGTTTGCAGGTGAATGGCCGAGTGACATGCAAAATGCAAGTTGAATGAAATTTTTACGAAGTTCTCGAAGCTTGTCAAAGCTCAGTTCTTACGTAGTTGTGTTAATCCATGCGAAAAATATATTCCAATAAGAATATAGATATATCTCCGTTCATGTGTTCTTTCTGGCAAGTGTATGAAGCCAGACCCCATTTAATTATATAATATTTTTCTCTTTTTTTTTTCTAATGAAATATAAGATTATTTTTGGGTATATTATTTGATAACTTTGTTAAAAAGGTACGTAAATGTTTGAAATATGTAATTTTTTTTGTAAATTATTACAAAAAATGTGTATTAAATGAAAATTATGTAAGTAAGTGTATAATACGTGTATCACATGTTAGAGTTTAAAATGTGCAATTTAACGAATCATAAAAAATTGTACGAAAACAGAATATTTAAAGACATGAAATATTTAAAGTTGTTTTTTATTTTCTCGAGTGAATTATGAAATTTGATTAAGTTGAGTAGAATAATGCCCAGAAACGACATGCCGTCTAATCACAATTGAGATCACAAACCGACTTGGTTTGTGTGCGTCATACGGCACCGTATTGTTAAATATAAGAGTAAATTACAGCGATAGATCTTAACTTTAACTCAATTGAAATAATGGTTTCTCAATTAAAAATTTATTACTATTTGTCTCTCAACTTATCAAAACGTGCAGTTATGGTCTCTTAACTAAAAATACATTACTATTGATTCATCAACTTTAATATAATTGGAGAAATAGTCCCTCAACTTTAACCGAATTAGAGCAATGATTCCTTAACTTTAACCCAATTGTAGCAATGGTCCTTCCAACATAACTCATTTTGACAAAATTCTGACAAAGTTGACGGAAAAGACCATAGTACACGTTTTGATAAGTTAAGAGACCCCAATTATAATAATGGTCATTCCAACCTAACTTATTTTGATAAAATTCTGATGAAATTATCAAAAATGATCATAACTATACATTTTGATGAGTTAAAATACCAATAGTAATAAATTTTTAATTAAAAAATTGTTGCTTCAATTTAATTAAAATTAAAGAATTATTGCTACAATACTCTAAACATAAAGTTTAGACGTATGGAGCACAAACGAAAAGCTTGGAGTTTTCTCTAATCCCACTCACTCACGAAAGCCTTGGAAGACAATCAAAGAATCCGATTTGGAGCGAAACACTGAACAATCCAACGACCATGGAAGCCGAAGCTCAAGAATCCAATCCCCAAAATGACGCCGTCATCAACTCCTTCTGCGAGATCACCTCCGCCTCCAAGCAAGAAGCTCTCTTCTTCCTTGAATCCCACAACTGGGACCTCGACTCCGCCGTTTCCACGTTTTTGGACAACAGCGCCGCCGTCCCAGCCGCCGACGAGGCCACACACGCCGCCCCGCGCTCAATCCCCGTCTCCCACTCTCTCTCTCCCTCACCCTCGCACTCCCCCAGTTACTCTCCTTCGCAGTCCCCGCCGCGCTCTCGCTCGCCGTCGCCCGTGTCTCGGGCGCCCTACCAGCTCCGATCGAAGCGCGCCGCCTCTAGTGGAGCCGACAGAAAGGGCGATGCCAAGCCGCCGTCTGCGAGTCGTCCGCGTGGCATACGCACGCTTTCCGATCTGAATCGGCCGGCGAACGGCGGGTCCGATAGTGACTCCGATGAACCCCAGGAGTACTACACTGGTGGCGAGAAAAGGTACTTTCTTTCTTAGTTCTTGTTTGTTTCCCTGTGGAGGAAAATCATCGGTTTTTTTTTCCTAATTTGGAATTTGTTACTCGTTAACCCTATAGCAACCCAGAAAGCTAATCAATAATGCTGAATGTTTACTTTTAGATATAAACTCACCTAGTAGAAAGCGCAATTTAGCTTCTTTTTTTCGTTTTGTGACATTCATTCTTCCGTTGTGTTTGGTTGCTGAGAAAAACCAAAGTTAGTAAAAGAAAGAAAATTTGAATTCGTTGTCAATAAAATCGTAATGGGTTGCAAGTAGATTATGTTTACACTGAAGAAAGTTGTGGATTAGTATCGTAATGGAGTTCCGTTTGTAACATTCTTGCTTTAGCATATGAGCCATCTGTGGAATTCGATTTTGTTCAGATATAAAACATTTTCGGTATGTATAAATTTGCAATTGTTTTCGTGTTTTGATTATGCAATTAGTTGGTATATTAATTTGTCTGGTTGTTGGTTCCAGTGGAATGCTTGTCCAAGACCCTACCAAAGGCAGTGATGTGGATTCAATATTCAGTCAAGCTAGGCAGCTGGCAGCCGCACAAGGACCTTTAGATGTCAATCAGCCTTCTTCAAGCTCAAAAAGTTTCAGTGGAACAGCTAGACTGCTTTCAGGGGAGACCGTTCCGACTGCTGCTCCTCAGCCACCTGAAACTATCGTTCACACTATCACTTTTTGGAGGAATGGGTTTTCTGTAGATGATGGTCCTTTGCGGAGGCTGGATGACCCCGAAAATGCACCCTTCCTGGAAGTAAGTTCTAATGATGCTTGTCCTATGTAGGGTTTAGTGGATTCTTTTCTACTGCATTGATATCAAAACTGAAATATTATATCAAGGGATCGGATCCTTGGCTTAGTCAAGTAATGCTTGACCTTTTGATCTCTATTTTTCATGTTGTCTCAAAACATCTAATGGCTCATAAAATATAACATAGTAAACAACGTATTGACAGTCATTAACTATTTGGCTAAGCTAAGAATTTGAAGCATAGAAGAGTAGTTTGGCTTAATGATGATAAGGCTAGAATTTGCATATCTGTGAAACCGACCATAACTCTAATGATGAACAAAACATCTTTACTTCCACTTGCTATAGAAAAGCGAAGCAAGAAGCGAAGAAAGCTGTGAGAGAAGCTAAGTTAGCGGCTTATGACGATATGTATAAGCGACTAGATACCAAAGAAGGAGAGTTGGATATCTATAAATTAGCTAGAGCAAGGGAAAAGAAGACAAAGGACCTAAACCAAGTGAGGTGCATCAAGGATGAGGATGGAAAGGTTCTTGCTACAGAGAACGCGGTTAAAGACAGATGGAAAGGTTATTTTCATAATCTTTTCAATGAAGGACATGAAAGGAGTGCTTCTTTAGGGGAGTTGAGTAACTCAGAAGAGTGTAGAAACTACTCTTTTTATCGTAGAATCCGGAAGGAAGAAGTGGTTGTAGCTTTGAAGAAGATGAAGCATAGAAAAGCAGTAGGCCCAGACGATTATACCAAATCGAAGTGTGGAAAGTTTTGGGAGAGACAGGTATAACATGGCTCACTGACCTTTTCAATAGGATTTTGAAAACGAAGAAGATGCCAAATGAGTGGCGAACGAGCACTTTGGTGCCTATCTACAAGAATAAGGGTGACGTACAAAATTGCATGAACTATAGGGGTATTAAGCTAATGAGTCATACAATGAAGCTCTGGGAGAGAGTCATTGAGCATAGATTGAGGCAAGAGACACGGGTTTCGGACAACCAATTCGGGTTCATGCCAGGGCGCTCAACCATGGAGGCAATCTATCTCTTACGAAGATTGATGGAAAGATATAGAGATGGGAAAAAGGATTTACACATGGTCTTTATAGATTTAGAAAAAAAAGCGTATGATAGGGTCCCAAGAGACATTCTTTGGAGGATTTTAGAGAAGAAAGGAGTACGAGTAGCATATATCCAAGCTATAAAGGATATGTATGAAGGAGCAAAGACTGCCGTAAGAACTCATGAAGGACAAACCGAAAGCTTTCCCATAACTGTAGGATTACATCAAGGCTCATCCTTAAGTCCTTACCTTTTTGCGTTGGTAATGGATGAGTTAACAGGACATATTCAAGATGATATTCCTTGGTGTATGCTTTTCGCAGACGATATAGTGTTGATAGATGAAACTCAGGAAGGGGTAAATGCAAAGCTTAACCTTTGGAGAGAAGTGTTGGAATCTAAAGGTCTTCGCCTAAGCCGATCAAAGACAGAATATATGGAGTGCAAGTTCAGTGCAAATGGAGGCCAAAACGAGTTAGGGGTGAGGATCGGAGATCAAGAAATACCAAAGAGCGACCGTTTTCGTTACCTAGGATCTATCTTGCAAAAGAACGGAGAAATTAGATGGAGATCTCAACCATAGAATACAAGCTGGATGGATAAAGTGGAAGAGTGCATCCGGCGTGTTGTGTGTGACCGCCGTATGCCACTGAAGCTCAAGGGAAAATTTTATAGGACGGCAATAAGGCCAGCGATGCTGTATGGCACAGAATGTTGGGCGGTGAAGCATCAACACATACACAAAATGGGTGTAGCGGAGATGAGGATGCTTCGTTGGATGTGTGGGCACACGAGAAAGGATAAGATTAAGAATGAGGATATCCGGAGTAAAGTAGGAGTAGCCGAAATTGAAGGCAAGATGAGAGAAAAATCGGTTACGGTGGTTTGGACATGTGCAACGAAGGCCTACTGACGCTCCGATTAGAAGATGCGACTATGGGACAGAGGTTCAGGGCCGAAGGGGTAGAGGAAGACCTAGGAAAACTTTGGAAGAGACTCTAAGAAAAGACTTAGAGTACTTGGATCTAACGAAGGACATGACACAGGACCGAGCACAATGGCGTTCTAAGATTCATATAGCCGATCCCACTCAGTGACTTGGATTTTCCAAGTCTCCAATCGAGAAGTTTTCCTCACTCGGGAAATTAAGGGAACACTACCCCCAACCTACATGCTCCACTCAGAAAGCTTCAACATACAAGCTTCAACAAAAGAAAATTCAAAAGAACTTAGCGAAGAAGGTTTTGGTGTATTTAACACAATACGTTGAAATGAAGGAAAACTTATTTATTGATATCCCCGATAAGCTACAAATGTGTACATATACATGAGTCAAAATAAAACAAACAAGAGGGAGCCTTCACAAGGGTTGCTTAGGAGAAGTCTCAGCAGTCGGTAGAGCCCCAGAAAGAGAAGGCACCGGAGGGGGATCATTCGGAACCTCAGTACTGGACAGAACCCTAGAAGGAGGAGGCATCAGAGGTTGATTATTTGGAGTTTCATTACGCGGTACAGCCCCAGAAGACGAAGGCAATAAATGCCTTTGGAACAAACCCACAAAAATCTCTGATGATCAAGTAAAAACCTGACCATCAGTTTCCTTCATCTGGTCAAGCTTCCTCTTCATGTTTGTAGCATAGTCATGTGCGAGCCGGTGCAACTGTTTATTCTCATGCTTGAGCCCTCTAATCTCCTGTTTGAGACTCATCACCTCAGCCGCCAATG